TTAGTGTTCTAGAATGCCATTTCCAAAGCATTTGCATGTGTTTTGTTTAGTGGCTAAGAGGGTTGAAGTTGATCACCAAAACAACTTCCTTTTAGGAAATGCTAACCACTCAGCTTCAAGTTAGTATTTTTCAAACTGATAAAACCATTAGTGAGTCTGAAAATCAATTTTAGGGGGTTATAGCTGGCATTCAAAAAGACTACAATAAAAGAGAAAAAAAGCAGAGTTCATTGCACAGTGGAAAGGCGAGCACTGTTTCAGTGACTCTATTTAGTTTTATACATCTATTTGCATAGCCTACACTGGGTCATGATAGAGAATGTATTTCTTACACGGGCCTGGTAAACAAGTTTGAAAACCACTTCTGGAGGTCCTATCTCATATCTTTAGTTACCCTTCAGCATGGCAGGGAGAGGCAAGTGGAAAGAACACTGGACTAGAGGATCTGAGCTCTTGGCTATTTCCTCCCTAGTCAGTGGCTCACCTGGACAAGCCCCTTAACTTTTGGAGTCTCTGTTGTTCTATCTGTAATATGGAGACAACAATACCCTCCCTGACCACCTCATGGAGTTGTTGAGAGGATTAAACAAAAGAACATACAAAAAAATGTTGTGTAGAACTATGCAGATGCCTGATATGAGTCCTGTTATTATCATGCTACAGGTTTGTACTTTATGAAAAAAATAAAGAGTTTTGCAAAAAAACTTTCAAACCATAAAAAATATTCCAGATGCAGAAACGATCAGTCGGCTGCATTTATCTGCAAATGCTTGATATGGTTCTGGCTTTCCGGAAATAGGATTCATCCGCTCTTTCTTGGAATACTTGGCTTCAAACTGGGGCCGGATTTCTTCCTTAAAAAACAAGCAGACACGTGTTTATGCTCTGAAGAGGTGCACAAGAAGAAAAAATCGTTTTACCTCCCAGGGAAACTGAGTCAACAGTTGCCACACTAATCAGTCAATGAAAGAGGTGGACTTGAGGCTCAGGTATCAAATGTATGGAAATTGGCCACTTGAAGAAAATCTAAAGAATGATGATCTAGACTTATTATCATCAAGGCAATGTGATGTAAACAAATAGTTAAATGTCTACTATCTTATTAAACTATGCTTGAAGAAACTGAGAATGAGAGAAAAGGGACCACCTGTCCTGTCTCTAGTGGTTTGAAACAATTAATAAGTTTTTACTTTTATTACCAGGAAATGATATGGATACCAGGACAAAGAACGCTCCTGAACAGCAAAATGTTCAGAATTCATTTTGTGAGTACATATAATGGCAACATGATTCTTTTTTTTTTTTTTAAATTGGGGAATTGGGGGATGGGGAACAGACAAGTTGCTGTCCTTTTGTTCTTCAGTCTAGTTGTGAAGGACGTTGCTTCACTGGCCCAAGTTGGCACCATCATTG